TGCGGCAGTAGCAACGTTCCTCACATACTTCAAAAGAAAACCAATGCCAAATTCAATTATTTTTGATTTATTAATATTAATGATAATAATATCAATAATGATAAATTATTTATTAATTAATTTTATTATTTAATCGTTTATGAATATAAACATCAGTATTATAATAAGAAAATAATAGTAATAATAACTAATTAATAAATATGATAATATTAATTAATATAATAATATTAATAAATATGGTAATATTAATAAGAATAATATTATCATTGGCACAAGGACTATATTGTACTAATACTAGTATTAATGTCAATACTAAATTTAAATACTGAACGTTCTAGTAGTTCTGATTGAAATAACATTTACATTGGCCGGTCAGGGGGGTCCTGACACCCCCCACCTCCTTGAAAAAAACAAAAAATTCTAAACCTTGGTACCTTTCCAGGACAATTGGGAGAGCTCGTTTCCGCCATTTAGGAATCAACATTTTCCCGGGGGAGGACCCTCAACCCTCTTTCCTTTTTGGGGTTCATCGATTTATGGAAAAAAAAATATGTATGCAACTACTGTATTTTTTTTTTCTGTGTATACCCGTACACGCATATTATGCCTATTTAATGTAATAAGAATGAGAAAAAAAGTGGGAAAAGCTTGAATTTTGAAGAACTTAAAAATCATTAAAGACAATTGAGAAGTCGGGAAAACTTATTTTTCGCCATCTAGAAATCAACATTTTCCACAAGGTAGACACGCCGTTCTGTTTGGGGTTCATTGATTCATGGAAAAAAAAAAGGATACATATGCAACTGCTCATTTTTTTTATGTACGTATACACACATAAATAGGCCTATTAACTGTAATAAGGACGAGAAAGTTTAACTGACCGTTTTCAAGTGGGAAAACCTTGAAAAGTCATTAAATGGTACCTCAGAAGTCGGGAAAGTTCATTTTCCACCATCTAAGAAACAAAATTTTCCAGGGGAGGACCCCCGACACCCCCTTCTTTTTTTGGAGGCTTTTTTTGTTAGTGAAAAAAATTTTACACCCCATTCCCCCGCCCCATAAATGTTAATCCAGATCCGCCCCTAATTTAACACAGAATGCTGCAAGTTGGCTCAACTGAAATACAAAAGCCACTTAACTGACCTGGTTTGGTGGTAGAAGGATACGCAGTTGATGTTCTAGTTGTAGTTGTTGGTGCAACTGTCGTAAATGTACAGTTGAAGTCGGAAGGCTCTGTAAAAATCGTAAACATTTCTATAACTTAATGGTTTACAAAGAAGAAAAAAAAAATTAAAATATGCTGTACTTTATATTTAAATAGTGTGCACACAGAGGCGATCTGGCAGCATTTCATTGACTCATGGTCGATATAGTATACCTATCTCAATATTAATTTTCAATAACAATATACAAACTTGCGCTTATGTTTGTGCAGGAAATATTTTACAGCATTTAATCATTAGGGCGATGGTCAGTCTACACTTTGGGGCATGTCCAAGGCATCATTTATATCATTTCAATTGAATGTATATAAGGTTGGTACATTCAATTTCATAGGCCCATAATGACCCACATACTCATTTCTATTACACACGAAATCAATTAGAAAGATTTTTTTAAATACAGTAATTAAATAAAACTTACTGCAGTAACAACAGATGTCTGGTCCAGTAACAAGCTCAAAGTTCTGTAAACGTAGATGATAATTAATATAAAAAATAGTGTTAAATTCTGGCTAACTGTTTTTTATATAATTATCTGTTATTATATTATAATGCTGTTACTATTTTCCATTTTTTGAATATCTTAAAAACAGATTTTGTGTATTTACCTATTACAGCGGTTAAATGAAAAATATCATACAGTGTTTCATATACTTAATTTCAATTGAGTTATAATAACTTGTGTTTTTCTGCAATGATGTCACACAATATTAAACTCTGCATATTACCAGAGACTTTTTTTTATATAGCTATGAATGTTTTTAGATATATTTTTGACCTAGAATAAAATAAATTTGAACCTAGTTATAAACTTAAAACATAACTAATCATTTTAAAATATTACAAATTAATAATCTTCATGCACTCAATTTACTATTGTTTTACTATTTTAAAGGAGAATTGTTATTTCATTTTATGAACTTGAGGTAGACTAGGAAATGTTTACCTCTCGACAGGTACGTGTACATGTGTCCTGGCAGTTCATATCATATTCACCAGTCTCAGCATTACATTCGCACAGCTTACAATTCTCTGCAATCTCCATTGTTGAACCCGGCTGTACACAAAATATCAACATATGAAAATAACTAAACCATCATTACTTATGAAAATCAAAAGAGAGGAGAACAACAATAAGGTAAAACAAAAGTATGAAGAAATATGAAGAAGAGAGGCGACATGAAATAACTGACTGAACAGCTTACTACACAAGGTCCAGAGAAACAGCCAGGTTGTGTTTCACAACTCCAGTCATACACTCCTGATCCGTCTTCCTCACAGGTACATTCCTGACAAGACTGTGTATATGTTTCACCAGGCTAAAATTGAAGTATTAGATACTCAGGTTATTAACCAACATATTGCTTATACGCACTTTCGTGTTCTCTTTTCATTTTATCATAAAAAAGTAACTTTACAGAAACTTGGTATGATACTCGTTGATATAAACCTAATAATAATGAAATACATTTTCATATTCAATTAGTCTATGCACAGTTAAAGACAATAGCGTACACATCTTACTATTCAGGTAAATATTAACAAAATATTACTTAATATCATTTTCTTTAAAGTTCACAGAACAAAGATCGCATATTGTCAATTCAATTCAATATAAAGTTTATTTCCACATCATCAATACAAAATACATAGACGGAGAAATACATAACGGTAAAAAAAAAACAATAATTGTTAAGAATGTAAGCCCATCAGAACATTTGAATAAAGTTGAAAAAGGGTCACCACAACAAGCAAGCTTTATAACGGGCGCCCATTGATTATGAAATAAAATTAAACAACTATATCACAAAAAAAAATAAATAAATTTTATAAATAAAGTAACAATAGTCATTGAAAATTCTGAAGAAAAGTTAAATATGATTACATACAGCACAATTATTTATACAAAGGTTTGCATTACACTTATAGTTTTCATGGTAATGGTTATTTAAAATTCTTTTGAATTTATAAATACTATTACTGAGTCTTAATTCTACATTGATATCGTTCCAGATTTTAGGCCCTATATATGTTAAGCACTTTTGTCCCATATTTGTGTTCTTTTTTGTTATACACAAGTTATCTTTATTTCTTGTACCATATCTGTGTACAGAGCCATAAGTCTGAAAAAAACTATTAAAAGACACTGGTACTTGTCCCATGAGGTACTTACACATAAATATTGAAATATTCTTCTTATAAATGTCATACACTGTGAGAGAATTTGTTTTGATGAATAAAGGCAAGGATGGATGCTGATAATGGGTGTTGTATACAATTCTTAAGGCTTTTTTTTGTAAGATATGAATACGGTTTATATTTGTAGAGTCAGTGGTACCCAATGTGGATATGCAATATGTTATAACTGGGAGAATTAACGAGTTGTATATAGTCAATAACAATTTTTGCGGCAAAAATGTCTTGAGTCTATTTAGAGAGCCTATCAAAATAGAGATTTTGTTAGCTATATAATTTACATGGTGTGCGAAAGTTAAAAATTTGTCAAGTTCTACTCCTAGAAATGTTATGAAATCTGCACATTCTATTGTATTGTTGTTTATAGATAACTTATTATTACCTATGTCAACTGGTTTATTTTTACCTCTGAAAATTATATATTTTGTCTTTGAGACATTGATAATTAGTTTATTGGATAAGAACCATGAGCTTAAGTGAGCGAGCTCTTTATTCATAATGGTAAACGCCATATTTACATTTTCATGTTGCAGAAATACATTCGTATCATCTGCAAACATAATAACGTCAGGACTGTTACAAACATCAGGCATATCATTTATATACAACAAGAAAAGCAGAGGCCCTAAAATCGAGCCCTGTGGTACTCCATATAAGATTTCTCTGTACTCAGATTTTTGCCCTTTAATACTTACATAGTGTTTTCTTTTATACAGATAACTTACGAACCAGTCAAAGACAAGTCCTCTTATACCATAATACCTAAGTTTCTTAAGTAGTATTTGATGATTAATTAAATCAAATGCTTTTGATAAATCTAAAAAGACTCCTACTACAAACATTCTATTGTCAATTGCATTTGTAGGAGTAGGGCATGTTCAATAGAGTGACCCTCTCTGAAGCCATATTGCATCTTGCTAAGTAAATCATGCTTATGTATAAATGACAATGTCTGGTCATACACGATTTGTCATTGTCCGAAAAAAAAAATGAAGAGTAAGGAATAAAAATATTCGGTAGTGGCGATAATCGCTATAGCAATAATTAATAATCGATTTCTACTAAAACTGTATTAAAAAAGCATAGTACATAGAATAAAATACACATATATTTAAAGGGGTACAGTTCAGTTATTAATGAAATGTAGTATTACATACCGAATATATGTCACCGTTGTGCTTACAGAGATGGGCTGTGAAACCAAATACATTGGAATATTAAAATATTAAAGATATATATATATATATAGTATATATATATGTATATATATATAATTATATACATATATAATGGTACTGTATAGGCAAATATACAGTAAATAACTAGTAAAATTGTACCAGATATATGCCAAAAAAATGTATTTGAAAACAAAAACTACATATATCTATAATTTTATATATATATTACTGAAACAAATATTTAATTTATATATCATAGATAATTATACATACATAATTTAAATATTTTTTAAAATTAAAATGTGCATATATAATTGGATCAGCACTCTTTTTACATATCTTTAAATATTTTCATCATCAGGATATAGATTTCATTTTGAAAATATTTCATTAATTTACTTACGAATGACAGTAGTTGGTCCTTCAATCGCACGGCATTCACAACACCCGTATGTAGGTTGATACAAAACTTTTCCGACCTTCACAAAATAATTTATATTAAGGCAGCTTATAGTATAAGAATTGTTAATCCATTCTTTTATTAAACAACGCATGTGAAGCAGAAATAACCTTTGTATATCTCGCACCTTTGTTTACTGATATTCATCGCTTATTCTAATTAAAAATAGAGGATAAACATAGAAATATGAAGAGCATAAGTTAGGAGGCAGATGTACATTCTAATCAGAAATTGTATTAACAAAATTCTTGAAAAAACTTACTGATTCACAATCAGATTTCGTCAACGAGCATTGATAACTGCATTCAGCTACATGCTTCTGTTTGCTGTCACTGTAGACACATTCACAGATTTCGCATTCGCTACGTTCATACTCCTCTCCGACCTTAAAAACAGAATTGCATTTAGTTTAATGACACATGGAACACAAGAAACTGTAAGAAAAAAATTTTATATTTTATATAACAGTTCTTTTGTCCTAAAAATCAATTATTCATGTGTGTTACATTGCAAAATGACAATATTTTTTAAATCAGCAATTCAATGTATTAATTCAATGGCTGGGGTTTTCTTTTCTGGACTATACATTTGCTCTCTAATCCCAATGTTCAATCCAAGCAATAACGTTTTTTAATACTATCAAGTTTAATATGATAAAACACCTGTTATTTCCCATATTATTGGTATATTATGTCATCATTGTTTCAATATTTGGGTATGATATGACATAATCATATACATGCACAGGCAAATCACTTGTCACTTCAAACATTTTAGTGTAGGAAAAAAAACTTTAACCAAAACATTTGTCAACCAAAAATGATTCCACTCCAAAGTCTTATAAAGAGACTTGGAGTGGAATTATTATAATGCATTAAAAGTAAATAGAAAAAACAGCCTAGTTGGATAGAATATTCACATTAGATATGGTTATAATTGGAAAAAAATAATCAACCATTTACCTGTAAGATTGTGCTGCTATCTAACAAACACTTGTCATTATCACAAGTTAATTCCTCAATTCCAACACAGTAAAAACTTGCTGAGAAGGTGTACAGTGGGAATAGTTGCAAGAAATCTGGGTTACTCTGATCATCTTTTTCATAACCTGGTGCACAACTGCATGTTGTATATATACATTTAAATAAATCAGCTGGAGGAACATAAGACGGCTTCCATCCATTTCCAATCGTCACATCAGCTTGTTCATCACATGTAAAAGTATGATGACATATAGGATCACAGACTAAAGGAGTGTAAAAATAATATTAAACAGCAAAATTAATATGTATGTTCAGAAAATATTCTAACCGTATTTCAGTTACTAGTTGATGGTGATAGCGATAATAATAATGTTGACGACGAGAATAAGTAATAATAATAATCATCATCATCATCATCCTATAATGTGCATACACCTCGTATGAGTATATTCGCACAGCGTTGGTGGTCAATTATGTTCGCTTGAGAAAATCAACGGATGTGAATATGAGATATCCTGTCCTTGAATGTGTCGATAGATGGCGAATCAACAACATGTTGAGGTAGGTTATTCTACAGACGGATGATGCACTTCCTTAATGTTGTACGGGTTTTTGGTATAATGAGTCCCTTGTCATGACCTCTGGTGTCAGTAGTCGATGACAACCCCCTCCCCATAAAACAGTAACATTAGCTTTAATCGATCATACTAAATAACAATACAGATATATTTGAATAGTTTTGTTTGTTTGTTGATAATATTGAAAAAAAAGCTTGCAGTGAATGTACTTGGTTATTATCAATGAAGCAGTTCTAGAATAATATAGATATACTATAAAATAATATTATTATTATGTTTATATTGTTAATAATTAATCCAGGTAGAAATATATCATTTATGAATTCAGCGTAATAATAATACAAATAATAATAATAAAACTGGCTGACGATAATTTTGAAGGTATCAATGATAACATTGTTATAATTATAATGATAATGAAGCAGATGTGACATCAATGATAATTGAATTAATAATATTGATAAAATAATAATGGTAATATTACATGTCAGTGTGAACAAGACCAAAGCTGCAGTGAATAAAAATTAACTAGTTCTTTAAAGTTTAAGAATTATATACAAGTAATATTTACTGATATGATAATGGAATTACTATTTAACATACAAAACCTACTTTTAATTAATTTAAATGTAAAATAATATGATATAATTTACGTTCTGTTGGTGTAGTAGTACACTCTGATTCTGTGGAAACTTGACAATCCCATGAATATGAGCCAATTTCTTGTGGATCTGCACAAGTACACACTTGACAAGCAACATTCACTGATTCTCCAGCCTAAAACAATAATCACATAAATCACTATCATAAAATTTGTTCGCAAATAAAATGATGTGTTTATGGTGTTTTTAAACTATCACTAATAAATTGTGCCTTACCAGATTTGCAACAGTTTTGCGAGTATATTTTGTTGGTGGGGGAGTGAGGATTACATAATTTTCTGGTAGGCAGCTTGTAGAGGGACATGTTCTCATTTTGCCTACCAGACCCTTTACGTTTGAGTTTTGAGTAAAATAAAATTATGAATTATTAATTGATAATTATTTACAGGAGATTATAATGTGCTACTTCATAACAAAATATAGATGGATAAACTAAAATTTGTTTCTTTTTAATTTGTCATTTCCTTTACCTTTTGTTTATTTATATCCATGTAACTTGATAATATGGTCAATTACCAAATTTCGTTGTTCAAAGTAAAATTCAAAATACACCCGAAGTGCCCTACTAAGCATTTTTTTCACTTCAGAAATATATAAAAAATACCATACAGTACATAGGTCTACATAGGTCTCACTATTTCTTTCCGATTAGACAGTAATAAATATTATTATTATTAATACCTCGTACACAACGCCCATATATTCACACATATTGTCACAGACAGGTTTTCGCAGACACATTGGAGTTTTCCATTGGCGATCCAAGACGGTTCCTGAAGGACAGTCACATAGGCCGCAATCGAAATTCATATCAAACGGTATAGCTAAAGAACTCATCTCATTGCAAGACAGCTCGATGACACACTCATCATTACAGACTATAAACAGTTAAAATAAAAGCATCGTTAACACTTAAAAACGTTTTTCTTACAACTAAAACGGCTCCATTCATTAAATCTTGTAATAACACTTTGTGCATAAATCACCACACTGTTTATTATATTTAAATGGACTCCTAAATATCAACTAACCTAAAGCTTGGTTTACATAAAATCGCTACAGAGTCGCTATATCCCTTTAAATACAATCCTTGCACTGTGTAGCTGTCCACAACTCATCGAAAACTCTCCCTGATTTAACTGACCAATCAGCGTTGTCAAAGGAGTCGGTGATAGCGTGTAGCGATTTGTTGGGGAAACCGAGCTTTAGCTTGAGGGATAAACCTCTATAAATAAGGACTAAAACCATTAAGATAGTATAATACATACTCCAAGTATCGAAATGCACGCCATTGTGTCTGGATTCAATATTTCGACATTAATTATGTCATCATCAGGATTGAAGAATTATCCATGTTTACAAGCTTATATGCACAAGTACCAAAAGTGATTGACCAATCAAAACATTACCCCTGGTAGGTGACATAGTTATAAATAAACTAAAGATTAAAACATTCTTACCCTACTGATCGAAGCTACCTACAAAAACAAAGAAAGCTCCTTTGACGCTTTCAGCCCATTATTGTTAAGCAATGGGTGTAGCCTACGTATAGCAAACACTTCTTTAAACAAAAAACTGCCAATAATGTTAGTATTAGAAAAGTATACCTTGTAAACCTAAACCTAAAATTGGTCTATACTATTGTTTAGAAGCGCTTGCTATACGTACGCTACACCCATTGCTTAACAATGGGCTGAAAGCTTCAAAGGAGCTTCCTTTGTTTTTGTAGGTAGCTTTGATCAGTAGGATAAGAATGCTTTGATCTTTAGTTTATTTATAACTATGTCACCTACCAGGGGTAATGTTTTGATTGGTCAATCACTTTTGGCACTTGTACATATAAGCTTGCAAATATGGATAATTCTTCATTCCTGATGATGACATAATAATGTCAAAATATTGAATCCTGACACGATGGCGTGCATTTCGATACTTGGAGTATGTTTTATACTATCTTATCTGAGATTAATCAGTGGACCTTTCGGTTTTTAGAAAACCATTAACATGGCGATAACTACGTAATTTTGTACCATAACTGAATTGAATGTAATCACAATAAACATTTTCTAATACTTAACACTATTGAAGTAATATTTATGTCATTAGAATTAAAAATCCAGCAACCATTGACTACATTTACCATTTGTTGGTGGCTCCGTTGCTCGTTGTTCAGCACATTCACAACATTCTCCTATTGGCTTGTACAAAACCAGCCCATCCTACAAGCCAAATAAAATGAATATAAAATAGAATATTTTTAAGTATAAACATCATTAAGCAAAATGATGTAAAGGAAACCTTGTTGTAAAAATGTTAGTGCTTTAGTAGTAGTAGCAGTAGTATTAGTAGTAGTAGTAGTGGTGGTGGTAGTGGTAGTGGTAGTAGTAGTAATAGTAGGTGTCTTCATCATAAATTTGCTCACATGGCAAATTTTCTGGCGAATTATCGTGGATAGCTAAAATTCTCCAACATATTAGAATTTTCTTCTCCTGGACTTCCTAGCAAAGTATTATTGGATAATCCAGAATTAGTAGTTGCTGTTCTGATCAGAATAAGACAGTGGCATTAATGGGTAATTTTATAATATTTGGTTTTTATTCTACATATACAAGCGATTATTGAAAGTATTAAGCTTTGTCTACACTATCAAATTTTATGTGACAAAAAAAAATGTGATGTGCCCACAAATGGGTACGATGACGTCATATTATCAAATTGTATAAAAAAAGTTGAACGTGTTCAAATCTTATGTTTCATCCCGTTTTATATGACACTTTTTTGATGAAATTTGATAGTGTAGACACAACTTTGGTGGTTGAAATTGGCAACATGTTCTGTCACTGGTTCTAACTGGCAATCAATCTTTTTTTAAAGACAATTATTGCAATCCAGTTAAATAAGACTTCTGTATCTTCTGGTTAAAAACATCTAATCTATTCCTTCAATTTTTTTGTGAATTTCAATATCGTTTTCTTTTTTCTGTTATATTTTTAAAACCCTAAACTATCTAAAAAAGATTGATAATAATTCCTTTATTCAAGTGTGTACTATTACATACTAACATGCAGAAGTGTAAAAATCATGTTGATCTTGTTCAAAAATAAAAGAGAAAAATTGAATTTCTTATAATTGTTATAGCTATTTTTGTGTTGACCAAGCTGGCTATGAACGGAGATTCAAATGCCAGTCTGAATGTATATAACAACACCAGTATGAGTGCATTTAGGTTTATTTAGAAGGACTTTGTAGATATCAATCAAAGCAAACCTGGGAACAGTCTTCCTCTGTCAAATCACATTGCTTTGTGCACTGAGCAACAAGTTTGTTAAGAGTGTCATCTTCCACACATTCACAAACCTCACACTCGTTGCGTGTAACAGTGTTTCCTTCCTAAAAAGTAAAAGGTACATATTATGCTAAATACATTAGAGAAAGTATGGCAGCCGGAAAAAAATGTGGATTAAAATAGATTTTTGGTACATGGAAACAAAAAGGTCTACAATTGAATCTTTATATAATATTTACTCATATTAGTCTTCTTATTTTTATTTTTCATGTGTTTAAATGGAAGTCATAGGACGAATGTTATCCTATACTGTAATTAGTTACTTTTTTCTAACCACTACTCCCTCGATAAAACAGTTTCCATTTTTATTATTATGTTAGCTACCAGTTTAACAATTAGATTATTTATGTTGCCGACCGCAGGCCATATGTACCTGGGGCTTGTGTAGGACTTGGTCAGCATGATAGTACACATATACCTTTGAGTCAGGTGAGCAAAATTTAGGAAATGGCGCCTGCAAGTGCCCGGACATGGCATATATCTGTACGTATGGTGTGTATGTATATATGTATGTCTATGTCTATGTGTATTTGTATATATAAGTTAGTTTAGTTTAAGATTGACTGCGCCACTTACTTGTGTGCTGTAACTGTTGTAAAAGTTAAATGTCAAATAAATATTATTATAGCACTCTCAAACTTTTTTTCTAATTGTCTTTACGTTGCGATTCAACCTAAATTTCTCAATGACTTTTATTTGTACTGTTTAAAGTCCTTGATTTGTTTACCTCTTAATAGTTTATCAGGTGTTGGGGCTAATGTGAGCAAATGTCAAATATACCCAGTACTGGCAGGCTTATACAGTACTTTAAAAATGTTTTTATGGTCTTATGTTATTTAATTAAAATTACACAGAACTCATAAATGGTTGTTGCATTAATAAATGTCATCATAATTGCTAAATTGATCGAACTGTTTAAAAACGTTTATCTAAATTTATCATACTATGTTAGCTGTTATACAATTGACATTGGTTAAATACTTACAGTAATAATAGTGTTCTCATCTAATAGACACTCTCCACCGCAGTCTTCCTCCTCAAGGCTGACACACATCCCTGTGTTACCAGGTAATCCAGCGATCAAATTAAAAAATGCGTCTTCATTGTTCCCATCATCACGCTCAGCACCCGGAGCACAGCTACATAGTGCATTAAATGGAAGCAGGGCGCATTCAAATGGCGGATTTATAGATATCGCACTATTCCAAATGCCGCCAAATGGCATTTCTGCACGCTCTTGACATGTTAGGGCATAATCACATGTTGATGGGCAGCCTAAACAAAAAATCAACAATTATAATATTGTTATTAATATCTCAACTTTAAAAAAATAAATATAATTGAACACAAATATTCTGTATTCAACAGGAGCTGTCTAGATAGCTAATAAATTCTTCAAGTTAAACCACACTATAATTTCATAATCATGCATGGGTATGAGCATTAAAGCATTAGCTCCGTCTAGTCAACTCTCGACAACATTCCAATATACTACAAATGTGATGTTAACACATATTCTGCCTTTTCAAATAGGGAGTGGCTATTATTAAACCAGTCAATAAACACAATAACATCAATTTGTTAAACTTACGCGGATATTTTGTTGTTTGTGGAACATTAGCAGTAGTAGAAGCAAGTGTTGTTGTTTCAGAACCTGAAATGATTGAACATCATGTTTTTTTTATAATGAGAAATCATTTTGTTGATGCCAACTCGTCAATACATTACATCCACTTATTAAATTATACCGATAACACTACATAAAATAAATGTAAAACATTTATATAAACTCATTTAAAGTTTGTGTAGGCCTAATTTTAGGACTTCATGTATTTCATGTAATTTGTATGAATGAATTATAGTGAAAAAAGTTTATATTCGTAATATATTGTATTTTTTCATGAACTTAATCAAAATGTTTACCTCTAACCACTAGTTTAGTTATAATAAAAGTTAAACTCCTACCTTCACATCCTTCTTCGTCTTCTCCATTTGGACAATTCCATTCGCCATTGCAAATGAGGCTATCACTATAAAGCATACTTCCATCATCACACAACTTGGAGCAAGTTGGAATCTCTGTGGTGGATGGTAAAGTGGTTGTTGTTGGTGGAAGTGTTGTTGGTGGAAGAGTTGTCGTTGTTGGCAGCGTTGTCGTTGTTGGTAGTGTCGTTGTTGGCAACATTGTCGTTTCAGCCACAGTGGTAGGCAAGACAGTCGTTGTGGTTCCCACTGTAAATTATATAAAACAAAATATATTGCTAATTTCTCAGATTTTATGCAACACGACACTAATAATTATATTGATAAGAAAAATTCTATTGATACAAACTATTTTTGTTTTAGGCCGTTATTTATAATGTAATTTATTAAATATAAAAAATTAGCACAATCACTGAACATCTGCAAGTTTGCTCGTAACTATAAAAGTTAACGTTGTGAATGGAGGTTTATGCTTAGTGGAAAACTGATTTTCATCACCCATTACCTTAAATCGTCAATGTTATTTTTAAAGTTTTATACACATCTTTGAAAACTAAATACCTTCTGGGTAATATCAAATGAAATATAGATACACATTCTACTGTGTTGAAATTTGAGTTTATAGTTGGTCAATAACAATTTATCTTTTTGTACATTATCAAATATTATATGGTGATGATAAGGACAATAACAATAATGAATAAAATATTAATGCCTTATTATCTTTGTAAAAAATATATGAAGTACATACCACATACATCACAGCACTCTCCAATAACTGACACAGGGTGTTGACCCTTAAAAAACAGTATTAAAATGTAAACTATATGTGTTTTAATAGTAAAAGTAGGCCTAATATATGCAACAGTTATATCAATTGCTGAACCAGCTTCCACATACTAGTATGTGCGATTATCATCACTGACTGTCAGAGCCACTAATAATTAATTTGAATCATTAAACAACAATCACATAAATAATAATTATAAACACATAATCAAATACACTGAACTTTTATGTATAAGAAAGATTAGCTTACGGGTTCACAAACAACATGTGAACAGGATATTGTTTCACACTCAATACTTTCAATACCAACGCATTCACATGTCTTGCAGTCGTTTACGCTCCACGAATCGCCAACTTTGTGGATTACATTATTGTAAACGCAGCGTGCTATAACAGCAAAAACACAATTATTAAAACTTATTTGTGACATTTTTTTTCTACTGTTCAAAATGAAAGCATATATAAAGTATTTAATAATTCTCAAAAACATTATGTCCATCCATTACTTTAATGTTTACTGTATTTTTTCAAGCCCTTGCTGAAATCATGAATTTTATGTTTCTGTCATTGTCCTGTGTTCTCAATAATCATAGGGAAAAATTTTTTTCATAATATTTATTTTGTAACATGAACAACATAAAACTTACATATAATATTACAACTACAACATTCACCATCTTCAGGATCATTTTCCAAAACATACTGAAAATACAAATTTTAAATAACTATAGCACAAAATTAAAGCTTTCACATAATTTAGATACAAAAAGATTAATAATAAAGCAAACTGAAAAGTATAATGTATAGTGATAAAACGGGTGATGCGATATACACAAACGGTGAAGTGATATTTCCAATGAGAGAGTGTGGAAATATTTCCCAATTGGACATGGATGTCAACACAATTCGTCAGGTAAAATTTCCTATGTAATATTAACAGATAACGAGATTCTACGATTGAAGTAATAAGCCGTTCAACTATCTAGTGTTGACACTTTTATGGGCCTGCCCCTTGGGCCTCTCAAAGGGGTTCTTGGCAGCCTCTGCATACTCAGTTAAGCTCCCATCGGCAACATTGTCCCTTCCCACCGGGCATTTGAATTCAATATTTGTTTACGTAACAACGTCTCATCAGTAACTGAGAAAGAATAAGAGTAAAGCACTTCCTAAATAAGGCAACTACTGTTAAGTAATAAGTTGAACAAGTGTACATCATCGGAAGAGCACGGCCGACAAGACTAACAACACAGTAGCTAAACGTTGATTAGCGAACTCACCCCTTCTTCGCAGTTGTCATTAGTAAGTGGGCAATATTCTTCGCATTCCTTTTCACACATTTCATAGTTACTCCACCTACAGACTTTACAATTTTCCGGATACCATACGTCGTTTGGCTGTAATCGTATTATAATAATTATAATTTAATTATTGGAGTTTCACATACACTAGCGCATCTATAGATAATGTGCTATATCTACACGGTATCTGTGGTTAGCATTTCATAAGCCTGTATCACTATAATTTGATTATGTCTTTGGTTTTGTCGGTCACTTTTCTGTTTGTTTCATATACTGTATATTTATTGATCTTTGTGGACGCACCGTTCTCGTGTGCCACTGTTATAAAGTGTAGATTCAAATAAAGATTATTTTTATTATCCCCATATTATTATATTTACCACTACCATCATCATCACCGTCATCGTTGTATACTTTGTTTATTTTATCTTCTTTATTAAATATATAAACACAAGATGTACTTTCATCTATGTGGAATCACTGTAATCCATGTTAAAAAAAAACAAGAAAACAAACCCCATGATCTTCATTGTCACATTTGCAGTTTTCAACACAATGAGTTCCGTTAAAATACAAGTTGTCTGGACATTTACAGCCTGGACTGCAAACCTCCTGGTCACACACTGGGTTCTTGTTTTCGCAAGTCATGTGACACACGCAGTAGTCATCCCATTCAAATCCTGGTCCACATACTGAAGTAAAATAGTAATATTTGGAGTTAGACTATGTTGCTGTACTCATTTTAAGCATATAGAGACATAAGTATCTTGCAATATATAACGTTTAATCTTTAGTTACATAAAGAATTTCAATGTAGGCCTTAGTATAGTTGGCTTGCTGTAAAGCTTTTTGATCTTGAATTCTCTTACATTTGATCCTTAATTATTAATTGTACTTTAATAATAATTTACTTATTTCCCTGCTGTATGTGATCAATTATTATTTACTTGGTTCACATCGGCAACATTCATTGACAGGTTCAACAAGCTGGTAACCCTCCTGACAGGAATCAATTTTGCACAACTTTATTCTTTCGTGGTCTTCTATTGGAGCTGTAGTGTTAGCTGTGCAGTACACAACATCACACTCACCAATGTCAACCTCGTCTCCATACTAAAAAAAAAAGCCAAGTCAACAAACTTAATCATCAAAATGTATACATCAAAATTTTAAGAACGTTTATAAAATAGAAAAGATGAAATGAACAATACAAAATAACAAATAAAAATGAGCCTGTAAAACAGAGTGTCCGATTACAAAATATAAAAATTAGAATATTAAATAAAAACAACAATTGAATTAAAATCTTAAGATAATATAAATCAATCAATCAATCATTATATAGTGACAATATCCATAGTACGAGATTAATGTTCAGTAGGGCTCAAAATATGCGAATTTGAAAGGTGCGTTTTAAATTTTTTCTTCAAAATTTGTATATTGGTGGATAATTTTCACGACAAGAGTTCAAAAATTGAGGTGCATCTTGGAACGTTAAGAAGGTGTTTATATAAAGTTACGAGAAGGAATTCTGCAGTGAATTAGGTCGGAGAGAAATAATGGAGCAAGTGCATTTAAAGATTGGTTTGTCATGAGCAGCAACTAGAATTGCATTCTATAGTCAACAGGCAACCAGCGTAGTTCCTTGGGAATTGGATTGAGGTGATCAAATTTCTTGGTACGTGTAATTATACGGGCAGCACTGTTCTGGACCAGCTTGAGTAGTATGATTTAAGAAGCTAGTTATTTTAGTTTAGTTTAGTTGTTCACTCTAAGGTTTCAGGGGAGAAAATTATGATTTATTTCTCAAAGTGTGCCAAAATATAAAGTTGAATGAATTTTCTTATTTTGAGACTGCTGTAGTTGTGATACAATAAAAGTGTCCCCTTAATAGGGGTTGGCCGTAGTGTTAAAATATATTATTTCCTTCATTTCACTGAAAATAGTGGTGTTTCCTAAATAATGGTGTCCCAAAGGAGGGGTTCTACACTACTTCCTCCATGATGTAAGTATCAAAATAATTATAACAACAGCTTATAAACTAGAAAATGTACCTGGTAGGTTCCAACACAACTGCGCTGATTACTAGCCGCAATATTATGGAATAATAATATAATTTAATTTAATAATTTAATTTGGTGTTCAATGTGTTCCATATGTGTTTGATCCAATGACCGGTGTAGTAATGTGAAGCGCTCAGAGGCTTTGTTAAGGCATTAAGCGCTATATAGGAATGACATATTATTATTATTATTATTATCATTTACTGAGTAAAATTAGTTTACACAGATTTAGCCTAGTTGTGGTTGTTTTCATAAGTGATATTACTGAGGACATCATTCAGTTCAACACACAAATTTGATTATGAATATTTGATTTTATCTGTGTAAGAGTTGGACCACAATACCATGTTATGGCTCGTGTATTATATTCTTTTCAACTGAGTATACCATTAATGTTAATTTTAGTTTAAAAAATGTAATTTCGATTTATTCAGTGACATCATTTGCATAGCACTTTCGCTAGGTCATACGTGATATTAGTCATCTCTATAGCAATTAATTTCACGTCAGAAAATGATTATGATGGTTGATGATGCATTTATGAGGGCGCTCTTAAGCAAGATGTATGATTCAGTTATTTCAAATTACATACACGTTACCAATTAATGATATTATTGTATCCATATTTCTCTAATAAACGGAAAGCATTTATACACAGTTGATGTGTATACTGACTAATGACTAATAAAAGGGAAAAAATAACATAACATAACTTACATCGTAGACAACGCCTTGGTAATAACATGGACACTCGTAATCACGAATGCATTGACCGTTTTCACGAACATACCCAGGTTTGCAATGACATCCCTCAAGACATGGTTGATCGTTGCATGCGTTACCATTGTGGGCAACAGTACGGCAGTTGTTAGTACATCCACACTTATATTCTTCGTGGGGGCCACATTCAGGTGTTGTAGAGATGGTGGTAATTCTTGTAGTCATTGGCAGAAGTGTTGTTGTCACAACACCAGTTGTTGTTGGGACTGAGAACAAATATGTTTAGAAAATTATAGTTTTGGTTTCAAAGAAATGTCCTTATCCTTACCATTAATCCTATCAATACCATAACCCTTATCATTACCATTACTATTATTTATAAAATATTATTAACATGCTATACCCAGTCTCAGCAGTCCTGTATCCTTATCCAGGGGGTGTGACGGGTGCGTACGCACCTCTTCCCCCTTCCCACCTCTAAAAATTCGGAAAAGACATTTTTTTTCTGAAATAAAACTTGAAAAGGGAATATTATATCTTTACATTTTAATGAGCCCCTTGACCCAATCGGGGTTTCTATTTGACCCCAACCGATCGAGTTTTGCACAACAATCCACACTATGGCCCTGCATAAACTATTCCTAATTTATTGATTGTTAACAAACTTACCGATGTAGATAAGCGTACGTATAGATAAAAACATTTTTAGTGTATCTTACCAACTGAGGTTGTATACTGTTCAGTGGTTACAAAAGTTGTCGGTGGCATAGTACTTGTATGGACAGTGGTTACGGTAGTCTTAGTTGTAGTTGGCATCATTGTTGTGTACTCTATTTATAACATATAAATACATATAGTTCAATGCCAACATTGATAAAAACGCTCCTAAAATTTACTGTAAATGAAACAGACTTATACTTATGCTCTGAAAATCTTCATTTATTTTCTTATTTATTTATAATATCTCTTCTGTTTGATTAAAAGTCGCCCTCAGTTATGAAAGCTAAAATTCGTGGAATAAGCATGTTTTAATTTACTGATAGTGTAGAGCTTAAGGTCTTGACATCAAGGTAGTGAATGGAATCAGGTTAAATGCTTCAGAAGATAATTATCATGTTGATCTTTTTCACTGAATAAGTGCCTTTAGGATTCCTGGTGTCACGTATTACGTACTAAGGATGAAGCAAGTTGCTTTTAATCGGATTCAAATTAACGAGAAGACAGTAGCTGTCTCTTATACACATCTAGATGTGTATAAGAGACAGACACTACTTCCTAATTATGTAGGAGAAACTGGTTGTAGCAAAAGATCTAGAATGAATAATCATAAAAGCTGCATTAGAAAAAAGAATAGAAAATCTACAGCCAGTGAGCATTTTAACTCACCAGGCCACTCAATATCTAACCTCCGATTCATCATTATAGGCAATAGTTACAAAACAACGAAATCCAGAAGATGCGCTGAGATGCATAAACAAGGCCTCAACAAAGATCGTGGCATTCTGAGTGGCTATACATTCATTGACCGTTATTAGATATCACAGCTACAGTTTAGATCCAGCTTCTCTATTCTTACATTGTTACACTTAACTTATTCTTAGTTTATACCACACCTATGTATCAAATCTATTTTGATTATAGTGTTTGTTCAGTGCTCTTGAAATATTCGTATCCTGAAATGTCAACCGTGTTCATCTGATATTTGATTTTGATAACCGAAAACGTTTGCTCACTTGAATAAAATTATATATCTGGCAACTTATTACCATATCATCGGAGTTTTTGTTTTTTCTATCTTGTTTGCCAATGCAGCCCTCCAGTTTCATATATGCCCCATGGGGCTTGAGTGTGTGTTCCATATATGCTTGAATCAGTGACCCGGGAGTAATAAAGTAAGCGCATAGGTCCCTACAATATGCGCTATATAAGTCGACAATTATTATTATTATTATTATTATTATTATATATATATATATATATATATATATATATATATATCCGAAAATTTCGTAGCAATAAAAATCAATGTTTCAATTATGTCAAAGTGTTTTGCAGTACTTTAATGTCTGTCAACAATTCTATTGGTACGGAATTATCAACTCTTCTTATACTATTAATATAGTAATTTGTCAACTTAATTTTTGCTATAACTTTTTTTATACAAGTAAAAGATGTTAAATATGATACAAACATCATTACAACTAAACAAATTGTATTTTATTTCAGTTAAAATAAACTTACCATTTTCAATACAACCAACAAATTCAAATGTCACCTGAATTTCTTCAACTGGAACATTAGTTAAAGTTATTTTGATAGAGGTTACATCATCAATTCCTTCATTAGAGAAAAGTAGTCTGTCGGTCAAACCATCTCCACTAAGCTCTTTCTCAAACACCTGCTCAATTCAATACAAATATATGAATACAAATAAATTAAACAACCATAATCATAACACGAAAAAAGTCAAAGAAAAGTCCAGGAAATTGCAATAATTTGTAATAATGCAAACATTATTTCATTTGAAACATAACAATTAAAGGATTAATAAAGGCATTTGATCAGTATTTTATGCATACGTAAAACAATCAAGGTCAACACAATCAGTTTTTAAAAAATAAAATTGGTAAAGGTGGACAATATATAGGGTGGAAGGAAAAGGAAGAAGACTGTCCAAAAGGTCTGTTTTGTGAATGCCTAAATAGCAAAAAAATAAATACATAGAAAAATAAAATGAACATTGCAAGAACAAGAAAAGAAGAACAAGATAAATATATATACACTAACACACAAAGGTTCTTCAGATAAGAAACCAAAATAGTCACTAAGTTACATGGCTATCAAGCGGATAGATACTTTGAAATAAACGGCTATTTCGGTTTTATAATGAAGGGAAAATTAGTAAAGGCAACAACATTAATTGAAGAGGGATGTTATTCAAGATAGATATTGAATAGAGTGCTTAAAACAATATTCTATAATTAATTACAATGCAGGACAATTAAGTCTTAATAACCTAATATCAATGTTTAAATTTCTTACCACTGGAGATTCATTGTCATCAACAATCTGTTCTACAACATCACTACCACGTTTTGTGTATGAAACAGTGAAGCTTATAATTGCAGCTTTCTTGCTGTTAATTTCAACACCTGTTACTTTCAAAGGTTGTGAATATACAGCCTCGAGGAATGAATCAATACTTGGATTCCATCCGGGTGATCCAATATGAGTGATACCACTGTTGTCTTCACCAGCCTCTGTACTACGTTCTCGTTCCAAACGATCTTTGATGGTCCTCAGAGATTCAACACATTCTGAAGGCAACACATAGTTAACACATAAATATATTACCAAAAAATGATTAAATAATTATGTTACACAAGAGAGACAACTTTCAATTATACCAAATATTTTAAACATACCATGAATAGGAGTAGTTGTTGGAAAATTATACCAAATATATTAAGCATACCATGAATAGGAGTAGTTGTTGGAATCATTTTTGTAGTTGTTGGCAACATTGTTGTAGTTGTTGGCATTTCAGTTGTTGTTGTTGGTATTTCAGTAGTGGTCGTTGGCATCATTGTTGTGGTGGTTGGCAACATTGTTGTAGTTGTTGGCATCTCTGTTGTTGTAGTTGGTAACATTGTTGTGGTTGGTGGCATCTCAGTCGTAGTCGTTGGCATCTCAGTAGTGGTCGTTGGCATCATCGTTGTGGTGGTTGGCAACATTGTTGTAGTTGTTGGCATCTCTGTTGTTGTAGTTGGTAACATTGTGGTTGTTGTTGGCAACATTGTTGTGGTTGTTGGCATCTCTCTTGTTGTCGGCGGCATCATTGTAGTTGTAGATGTTGGCATCTCAGTTGTTGTAGTTGGCAACATTGTTGTGGTTGTTGGCATCTCCGTTGTGGTCGTTGGATTCATTGTTGTTGTTGGCAACATTGTTGTAGTTGTTGGAATCTCTGTTGTGGTGGTTGGCATAATTGTGGTTGTCGGTATCTCAGTAGTGGTTGTTGGCATCTCTGCTGTGGTTATTGGCATCTCTGTTGTAGTTGTAGGCATTATGGTTGTATATACTGCACATAAAAATTAAAAGTATTTCAAAAGTTTTTAAAATATGCTAAATTTATTGAAGTAAAACTAATTAATTCAATAACATTTTTTAATAGATTTTATAAAGATTATACTTACCATTTTCAATACAACCAACAAATTCAAATGTCACCTGAATTTCTTCATCGGGAACATTTGTTAAAGTTATTTTGACAGAGGTTACATCATCAATTCCTTCATTAGAGAAAAGTAGTCTGTCGGTCAAACCATCTCCACTAACCTCCTTTTCAAACACCTGCTCAATTCAATAAAATAATAAACATTAATTTCATTCTCTGAAAATAATACAAGATAAATACATATAAATTAAACAATCATGATCATAACACGAAGAAAGTAAAAGAAAAGTTCAGAAAATTGCAATAATTTGTAATAATGCAAACATAAATTCATTCCAAACACAAATTAAAAGAATCAATAAAGACAGTTGATCAGTATTTTATACATATGTAAAACTACTGTATTAAGGTCAACAAAATCGGTTTTTGAAAAAATAAAATAGGTGAAAGTGAACAGTATATAGGGTGGAAGAAAAAGTAAGAAGACTGTCAAAAAATTAAAGTCCGTTTTATGAATGCCTTAATGGTAAAAAAATAAATACATAGAGAAAAAATTAACATTGTACACAATAAACAACCGAACACAACAATATATATA